ATAATCCGGTGACGACTTCATTTTAATGGACAAGACAAGGGACTTTGGCTTTTGCCTGCACGTTGAGTGTTTAATCCTTTTCCAGACTTAATTATTTGTTTTCGGATATATATAATTTTACAGTCATTTCCTTTTCTCATCTTCAATCCCCATCTCTTGATCACTTCATGAACTCCCCCCTATCTCTTATCCGTTCTAGATTTTTTTTGTGATTGCCCTTGTTTTATTCTGGTTACTTAGATAAATATAATTATATATATAGTAGTAAATATAGGATTCGATGTTCATAAGAATAAATCATTATCGTTATAATTATATCAGTGATGATATTATTTATCACTTATCATTTTGATTCCAACGCGAAAATGATTTTGTTATTTCAAAAGTTCACAAGTTGTTAGAATGAAATGATAATTTAAATGTATTAAGTGCATCAAAACTGATGTAATTAAAGATCGAATTGAAAGAAAACAAACAAGGATTACTAATTAAAGGGAAGTACCCTTAGTTTTAGGGGTGGGGGTCCATTTATGGAAACTGTCTGAAGACAACATGCAGATTAAAACGTATACAGAGGGTGAGTGAATGAATGAATGGCAGATGATGCTTGTCTTTTTATATATATATATATATATTTATTTTAATCATTTTACCTCAAAATTTAAAATTTAAAATCTAAAACTTAGATTCTAAACCATAAAAATTTTAAATTCTAAATGGTACACTTAATATCTAAATAAACAAAATTATAGAGTGGAACAATTTTTGTATAAGTTAATTGCATCACACCTTTTCATATTATAACTCTTATTTTTAATTGGATCTTAAATTTTTGAATTCTAATTTTAACTTAAATTATGAGTTTTATTATAGATTAGTCTTCAAACTTTAGAAAATTTTAATTTCATCCCCAAACTATGATTCTTATTCTAAATTAGTCCACATACTTGTGAACATTTCAAATCCATCTCAAACTATCGGTATATGTTAATCACATATCTTGATAATAAAATCGCTTGGTCAAACTATATTATTATACGTTTGAAACAAAAAAATTAAGTTAAACTGTGGTCGAAATTAATTACATATTTGGATGAATATGGGGATGAAGTTGCAAGATTCAAAAGTTTGGGGACCAGTTTAGAACAAAGGTCATGATTTGAGAATAAAATTAGAACCTACAAAATTTTAATGATTTATTTAAAATAAGTCATAATTTAGGAATGAAATTTGAATATTAAAAAAGTTGAGTACCAATTCATAATAAAAACTATAATTTAGAGACGTTTGATACAATTAATTCTTTATAATATATATAATATTCAGTTGAACATTAAAAAGTTTGTTAATATTCTTAAACAAGGATGGACACATGATTTTACGTTAGAGGGGGCGAACTTATAAAATTTTAAAGGGGAGACGAAATTATAAAATTTGAGGAGGACGAAAATAAATTTTTAACTGAAAATAAAAAAATTTAAATTATATAGAAATATAAAATTTCTAGGGGCACTCATCCCTCTAGGTCCATCCCTATTCTTAAACATGGTAGAAAATGACACATTGATGCTTAAAAAATTCTTAATTTTTTTTAATCTGTTATTGCAGGATTTGTATTTGATTGAGGTGGAAGAGCACGTGACACCCATTTTATTATTTACATTAAGATTTGTAAAATAGAATAAAAATATAATTATGATTATAATCTAAAATTACCTTTTGTTTATGCTTTGCTTAAAGTTCTTTTCTTCAATTTTTTATTTTACTTTCGTTCTTATGTACATGTGCATGCACACGTGAATTGACGCGTATACATAAAAACAATAATCATGGTTTATTATACTTAATTTTTTCTTGGACTTTGGTATATTTATAATTAATAAATTTCACTAACTTTTCGACCATTCTAGAACTACTTAATTAGCTTAATCATTTTGAGTCATCTTAAAATATAAAATTAAAAATTTAGTAAAAAATATAAATTAAAAGTGTATTCCTTAAATGATCCGGCAAAAATACATAGACAATGTTATGGGGAAAATTCTCCCCATAGCATCCTACTAAATTATTTGTTAAAGTATAACAATTGCTACAGTGTTACTTTGAAGACGTGACGGTTATGGTACGTCTTCAATTTTTTGGAAAAGAGGTATGGATTACAATGCGTTTTTCTTGGGACATCTAAAGATGCATTGTGGTCTTTATACTCCCTACGCCTTCTAGGTTGCACCGCAACATTCACCTTATTTGAAGAAATAAATTTTCTCGATATTATGTTAAAAAAATTATTTTTCACCACATTTTCCTAAAAACTTTGCCAAGCAATCTCAAATCTCAATGGTTTGTGAGAATATTATTATCTCTAGAAATTCTGGATTCGAGAAGCTGCGCCTATAGAATGTGTGGGCGTTATCGGTGACTAAAAAAATCTGAATATATACTACATTATAATCCCCTAAACTATTAAAAATATAAATAAATTAAAAGCTAATTTGATTTAAGAAAATAACATTGACCATTTATAATAATTTGATATATTTAATTAGCATTCTATAATTTTTAAAAATTTAACAAATAAAGTAATTATTTTAATATAATTTTGTAATATTTGATAATTTTATTATTATTTTTATTCATTCCTAAATATTGAAAAAGACAAAAAAATGTGAATAAATTTTACATATTTGAGTTTCTTAAATGGCATTTATTTGCCACTCATTCAAGGTGGACACAAAAAGGCATCTCCATGGGCCACATGTATCTTCATGTTCCATATGATTACATATGATTAATTGTATGAAAAAAAAATAAGAAAAATATATTGGCTAATAATCATTATTTTCTTAAAAATGACCCAATCAAAATAGCAATGATTTATTTAATTTTGGCCCATTACTTCACTTAAATACCACTTCTTATCCCACTATTGCTAAATATATGATTTCCCTATCACTTTGAAATCATTTGCTATTTTGTAAAATTAATAATAATAGAAAACCTTCACTTCAACTACACTCTTTCATATCTTGTAAAATACATTCAATTATTTCACCTTAGTTTTACATACCAACTCAACATATGATATTATTTTATAGTATCACACATTTGATAAATAATTATTTTAAGAGAACAAAATAAAGGATATATAGTTTTTATAATACATACATTTAGGGTTTCACAGCCTCAACCCTAATTAACAATTTAAATCTACGTAACTTGAATCTGGGAATGATTTTCAAAATTGAAATCACAAAACAAGTAGTTGATGTATGTACTTGAGATGACCATATCTAAAAACGCTAATCTTACAAAAGCTGACTGGTTCAATTAATAAGCACTATTGATTTCATGTTTAGAAATGTTGGTTTGATGAGTGGGGACAAAAGCTGGTGGATGCCATTGAAGCTAAGCAAGCTCCACTTCAATGAATGGGGAGAAACATGGGCAACCATAAACGATAAGTCATTTCATTCTCGAGTAATGTCATGCGTCCATCTTTGCTGATCAGTCCAACAGAAAAAGGTAAATTATGTAACTATCATTTTAGTTTTGTTTCGACCACCTAACTATTTTTTTTTAAATAATATCTAATGTTATATTTTGATTTCGTTTTGATCACCCATTGTTAAAAAATAAACATAACTGCTCACGTGATAATTTTTTTTAAAAATAAAAAAATCAATGGTGACGTGGCATTACCTTATGGTGATTTCGTTTTCGCCACTCGTCGTTAAAAAAAATAAACGGAAGTACTAACGTGACAAATTTTTTCAAATTTTAAATGATAACATGACATTATCTTATAGTGACACATCAATATCATCGTTGATTTTTTAAGACAGATGACCAAAATGGAATTAAACTGTAACTTTAGGTATGATTTGGAAAAAATAATAGTTTGGTGACCAAAATGGAACTAAAGTGATAGTTGGGTGACTAAATACATAGTTTACCCTAAAAATGCTTGATTTTGAACCAAATGCAGGGAGCAGAAGGTGCAAAAAAAAAAAAAAAGTAGGCATCTGGTTGATTATTGGAGGGATTTGGGAGTAGGATAAGCTTTAAAAAAACCCACATGGCAAACATACTTCAATGATAATGAGAGGAGAAAACCATATGTTTGTGAGCATGGGACCATTATATGTTAAAAGTCTATGCATGAGTAACATCTTCATGTCCTTACATTTCTGATTCACTTTAGTTTGATAGGAAACACTTCCTCCAAAAGATGTTCCATTCAAATTCTGATCCGATATGATTGCATTACCCGAAAAATAATATTATAATTGAGATGAACGTTTGATCGAGTTGAATCGAGTTAAAAAGTTTTGAGTTTATTGAGTTAACAATCTTATTTTATGATTTAAATTTTCTTTGAATTTTTTTCCGAATCGTGTTTATGAAATTAGAGTCGAGTCGAGTTGTTCGAGTTTTTCTTCAAGTATAATTATAATTATTTATAATTTTATGATACATATTGGTTTCAAGTTAAATGACTTTCCTAATCATATAAGACGTAAATATATATTTCATCATACTTTTTTCCACATGCACAAGTAAGATTTGTAATGTTATTTAATAAATCAAATATCATCTAAAATTATAAGATACATTTATAATGTTATTTTTAAAGAAGAGATATTTGAGGAAAAAAAACATTGATGATAATATAAAGAAGTCAAGAAACTGGTGGGAAGAAATAATTTATATAAAAATTGCAATCGAAAGGTCAAATTGAATAACATATAAAGTCGAGGGACTAAATTGTAATAAAAAATATGTTTTTAGAAATAGAAATTGAAGTTACATATATATCTCGTAGCTGTAATGAAACAAATGATTCAAATTTGGTCAAAACAGACTAAAAACGAATATAAAATTTGAAGAAATGAGAAAATCATACAAAATCGAGAGAGTAAATATACACATTGCATCACTAATATGCATTACAAAAACACAACTTAATCAAATAGCAAAATTTGATGTCAAATGTGGGAAAATTCAATCACAATTTGTAGCACAGCACATTTTACAATAGGCAACGGAACCATGTGGATTGGATTCTCGTGTTAACCTTTAAAAATGGTAAAAAGAATTGTAATGTAGAACTGTTCCGGCAACTTACATCGTCAGTAAAAAGAAAGATTTGTATGTTACTAAAACCTTTTGTAGAAGACAAAACTGGCTTGGTATAATTGAAGGAGGGAAGTTAAGATGTGTACCATGGCAGCAAGATCAACTTAGCAGAGTAGGCAGTTCTCCTATACGCCTCGTCCAGATCAGAAAAATCCGTTTCGATTTAGACCAAGGAAAGCAATTTATCGTCCGATGGAAAAATCGAACTATTTGAGCAGATTTCTTGCTGATGGAGTTCCAATAGCTGTGCCTCCGGATTACATAGACCTACGAAACAAGAGTAACTTTAGAACACAACTTAGATATATCTTCCGAAGCCATTGTTCTACGATGCAACCATTTTCAGCTTTCGGAAATTTCTCCATTGATCAATGATGATCAAGTAGGTCCATATCGCCTACAATCTTGTATATCCGTGGATCAGCTAGTGTACCCCACTTTATGACCGACAGAAAGTTCCTATGTAAAATTTCGAGAGAGAGAAATCATTTACACCATGAAAATCTATAGATGTTGACGAACACGATGTCTCACACAAATTTATTGGTTTATTTTTAAACATAACAAGTTCTACACCAACCTGAACATTTGGGGATATCCCAGACAGCTATTGATGTTGATGAACATGATGTCTCAGTCAAATTTCGGTTATGCTCCTGGTTGACATTCATTGCAAGCATCCATGCACCAATCTTAACATCTTCATTGCTAAACATCCGAAAACTGCAATTTATACAAAAGAGAAAAATCCATAACAGATTAGATATCTGAAAAAGTAATGGATGCATCATTATAACATTACCTCAGCCAATTGTCATGAAATGGGTAGTCAAAGAGAAGGAATATGTTGCCAAATATATATTGTTGGATTAAGCTTTCCAAATATTACAATTTTCTTTAAGAAAATCAATAATTTGAATTATGATCAACTCCTCAACCTCCTCAATCACAGCAAAGGAGGACAGGTAGATAAAAAGTTTGATCATAATATAGAATTTTCCAGTTATATTAGACGTCTCGAAAAAAAAAGGCTGGCTGCGACTCGATATTTCAAAACAAGAGTTGAAACATTTGAGTAACATTTTAGTTTTAGACCAAGCATGTTAAGTTCGAAAGAAGGATTGAAGTTAGCCAATGTTTAGGGGAAAACCCAACACCGTCAGCAAGTGAAAACCCTGATCCAAATATAGACAAGGAAGGAACAAGAAGCATAAGAAAAGAGAGAAACTGTTCAACAGACAATTATGTTAGATCCAAAATAATGAGTACCTGTTGTTCCGCAGAGTAACCAAACTTGCAACAATATCAGCAGAAAGAGCATATATAGGACCATAGGCATAAAGAAAGTACCCCGAGCCTAGAAGACGGGATTGTGGCTCATACCTGCATGAAATTGTCGCTCTAATCACTGTATAATATATGGATATAACTACTAATATAAAGAGTATCTTTTTGGTATTATACGACACTAAATCTTGTCTAGTATGATAAAACAGTAATCTTTGACGTATTTCTTTAACAGGAAATCTTCAAATCCTATCCTAAACGTACATGCACAAGTAAAATTCAGAGGAAAGGTACGTTGCAATAGTTCCGTATTACATATCCATTCCCAACAAAGGAGAGCACATAGATAGAACAAGACACATATTTGCAGTTCAGACACATGTCGCAAACAATGATCTCATCTTAACATTCAAGAGGTAAAATCAAAATGCACTATTATAGTGAAAACCTGTATCATGCATCTTAACCCTATCAATATTTAAAGGACCTTTTTAAAGCTTTTTATCCATATATCACATACATACCTACATTTATATTCGATGTAGCTCTGCATGTGTACAGACATTTCAAGCTATAGAGCACCATAGATCTTATTATATGAGTTTCGTCTTTTCTCATTGTAATTCAAGATCAAGTTTGGTAGAGACAAAAAAAAATTTGTTGTGCAGTTTAAGTAATATGGTTTTAAATTCTTTCTGGTTCAATAGGGTCATTTCCAATTATCATGGCCTCAAAACTAACAATTACAAAAGTTGACGCTTTCTGGATTTTCCATAAAATTTGTGGTGTTAGTAGATGTCGTTGAATTATCCCTTTACTTTAACTTTCCCCTTCTTGATTGAATTGACAGTATCAACCAAAGATGGCAAGCAACTTATCATCTCTTCTACCAATTTACAGCACAAGGCAATCCCAACAACCGAAGAGAAACCTTTATCTGAAACATGAAGTAAAGAAACAGTTGAAATATGTAGATATCTAAAACCATAAGCTAAAGCATAAGTATAAACAGAAATACTAACCATTTCAGCTTAGGATTGGTAAATACCGGACCCTTTCTCATGCATCCGATGTAACTATGCGGGTGAGAACGTTGTTTTGCTATTAGAAGTGATAGCCGATCTGTAAATCGATAATAGGCTATCGTCAGTTAACTATAAATATGTCATATGAAAGTAAAGAATACCACCCAACACATGCATAAAAGAGTTAACTAATCAAGTCACCTGGCCTCAAATAAATGTCTTCATCAGCTTTGATATAGAAGTCGGAATCATAGAGTGCATAGGCAGCTTTAAAGAATGCTAACGTGAATCAGACGTTCGAAAGTAAGGGATCTTCTTTCAAATGAAGAGCATGACTAATCCGATAACCAAAAAATTCAGGGAAGAAATAACTAACGTTTTGTATGGAAGTTTACTGTATCCTTCCTCAATATCTAACAAAATGAAATCATCATATTCTGCTACTTCTTTTCCCAGCTCTTCCATCTTTGATTTATCATTTGTTCTACCAATTATAAACCTAAAAGCTAATCCTGTTGATTCTTCCAACCTGAAAACACACACACACACACATATATGTATGCATGTATTTAAAATATTGGGTTAATTCAAACATTATTATCTTTTCCACATTTCAAAGAAAAACTATAGCTGTGCTTTACTGAACAGAGCTTAGTTGTTCTAAAATTCAAGCAGAAGTTTTAATTTCATTTGAAAATAAAATCATGTACCGTTGAAGGCCTTGACGATCAGAAGGAAGCCAAGTCTTCCTCCGACCGGCTGAACGGAACCCGGTTTGGACCCCAACAAAGCCCATAACTTTATGTCTTTTGATCCCATTATCAACATCTTCCCCGTTATCCACAATCTCGGGTCGGTCCCAAAGAACCCGGACGGTTCTTAGGTCGGAGAGACAACGGTTACCACATCCGGTGGAGAAAATTAAAGCATAGCTGTAATTTGGGAATGAAAGAATTTGGGAGATGATGGCATAGATGTAAATTTGGTTTGACCCGCCGTAATTGGCCGTTATATGGATCACTTTCGATTACGGGCATTCGAGTTCCGAGGAAGGCGACTGACTTTGATTTATTTGTTAATGAAATGTAAAGATAAGAAAAATGAAAATTCCAAATAAAAATCTATTTATTTATTTATGATTAAGATTTTATATTGTACAATTTTAGGATTAATATATATAAAATCAAAGTGTCTGTAGTTTACACGCGCGCTGAAAATATAATTGTGTAACCGTAAAAATAGACATTAACACGAAAATATGTGATTATCACAAATTAAATTCAACGAGTAATTACCTAGAATAACAATAGTGTTATTTTTTATATAATTATCGGTATCTGATCTATTTGACTGAGACAACAAGACCTGAAAGATTCACATAAATGGACCAATTTGGCTGTGATGTTGGGCTTCATTGTTGGGTACACAGTCCTGTTATATATTACCATTTTTTTTTGTAATATAGGAGTACTAATTACCTAGAATAACAATAGTGTTATTTTTTATATAATTATCGGTATCTGATCTATTAATCGACTAATTTAGAAGGGTACTATAAAGGTGAGGACCCTCTCAACCCAATTTATTCTAGGGTAAACTACGCATATAGTACCTAAACCATCAATTTTAATTCGTTTTACCACTTAAACTTTTAATTTTTCAAATCTATACCTAAAATTTAGTTTTTGTTCATTTTAGTACCCAACCGTTAAGTTTTGAAAAAAAATAAAAGTCTAGGTACCAAAACATATTTAGTAACTAAATCATACTTAAGTTTTTTTTTAAAAAAAATTAGGTACTAAAACGGACCAAAATCGATAATTTAGGTACTAAACATGTTAGGTTTTTAACAACAATGTATTAAAATGAAACAAAAAGTAAACTTTAGGTATGATTTTAAGAAAATTGAAAGTTTAAGTACTAAAACAGACCAAAACTGATAATTTATGTATTAAATATATATTTTACCCTTTATTCTATTTGCAACCAAGATTTAAACTTCCGACCTTACTTAAAAGTCAAGTTTCTCATTCCATTAAATTCGTTATTGTTAGAATAACAATAGTGTTATGAATTTTGAAGAATTTATAGAATCCTGGAATTCAATTACAAGTTTATATATATATATATATATATATATATATATATACTGATATAATATCAATAATAATGAAAAAAAGAAAGAAAAGAAAGATATTATATATCTAGTTTCTTGCTCTGTAACATCTATACCACAAAATCAATAAACAAAGGACTCTGTACCCAACAATGAAGCCCAACATCACAGCCAAATTGGTCCATTTCTGTGAATCTTTCAGGTCTTGTTGTCTCAGGAACCAACTCCCAAACAAACTACATTCACCATTCTCAACTTCAATGCACGTCTTCTCCCCTTGTTTCCCTCCAAATTCATTGATCATAAAACACTCAAATGGGTACTTAAACAAGCTCAAATAGTGCATGAAAACCCAGTAATTGGGTATCTTGTCTTTAGCTATAAAATACCCAGAAAACAGGAAGAAAGACCCCATTAAACCAGCAATCACCGAGTTCCCCATGATGAAGTTCGGCACGAGTGCACTGAAACATGCCACGAATGAATTGGACATCAAAAGAACCATCCAGACCACTAGGGAGAAGTAAAGGAACCCGTCGACGGTGTCTCGTCGCAAGCCGATTAGCCAATAAACCGGTGAAGTGAAGAGGAGACCGACCAGTAAAAGAAATGGAAGGAAAACGATGGTGTTGGCTAAGACATAGGAGGAAACTCTGTAAGCTCCTCTTGATGTCTCTCGCATTAGGATTCTTCTTTCTTGTAAGAAAATTGGTAGTCCCTCCGTGGTGGACGATAGTAAGAACGTGAGCGTGAAGGCGAAGAAGCCGGTTTGAGTTTGTAAAGCGGTGCTTCCTTTATCGTTTCCGACGTTGAAGTATATGGTTCCGAGTACAAATCCAGCTACCAAAGCTTGTATAACTCTTGTTGCAAAGAGTTGCTTGGTTCTGAAGATGTTGCTGCAGAATCTTTGGCCTAATATCAGGACTTCGTCGAATCGGGAATTTGGGTAAACAATCAGCTTTCTTTCGAGATCGATTGGGCTTCTTATTCGACGGCCTCCATGGTTTATGTTGCTTAGTGTACCTGGATTTGATACCGTTAGAGTTTCGACGACGTCGATGGCAAATTCGAGGACATTGACGTGCCGAGGGATTCGATGATCGGCTAACTTTAGTCTGTCTTCGAGAAGATTTAGCTCTCCGTTATGAACAACGAATCCATTCGAAAGCAACACGATGCGATCGAACAGCTCGAGGATCCGGAAACCAGGTTGGTGGATGGTTAAAACAATAGTCTTACCTTGATTGAGCGCCATGGATTTCAGCAGTGTCACTGCATGAAGAGCTGACGCAGAATCCAATCCCGAAGTTGGTTCATCGATCAAGATAACCGCAGGGTCGTGAACCAAATCGACTCCGATCGATACTCGTCGCCTTTCGCCACCCGAGATGCCATTATTCGATCCGTAACCAATTCTCGAACTCGCCACATGCTCCAATCCAAGCTCCTTTAACAGCCCTTTCACTCTAGAACCAGCTTCCTTCCTCCCTCCAGGTAACCTCAAAAGCGCACTATACCTGAGCGTTTCTTCGACTGTAAGCAGTGGAAATAGCGCATCGTCTTGCGTGACATATCCCGAAACTCGCCGGAAATGTTTGACGTCGATAGGCTTGCCGTTAACAAGAACTTCCCCTGATGACACTTCACAAGGCGGTATCTTCCCGGCGAGAATCTCTAGCAACGTAGTTTTGCCTGCACCACTCGGTCCCGCTATGGCTGTTATCTGTCCGGGCCTAGCTTCGCAATCCACGCCCTTCAAGATGAACTTTGCAGGTCTATCTCGATTTCGACCACTGCAAAAAATCCACCTGAAGTAGTCTTCAAATGGGGTGCTCAACTTGTAAGACAAATTTCTAGTCTCTAATCTGTATGGAGGTTTCCGGCGACCGTAAACCGGTGACTTCACTGGCAATTCCATTCGAGAGAAAGAAAGGTGAAAGTTGAGAGGGAAAAATGGGAGACAATAAGTTATGTGAAGAAAGAATATAAAAGGAGATGAACTAACGCACCAAATTCGACACCCTTCCACAAGCAAAAGCAAGAATTAAATGAATAGTTTAGTTTGCATGCATGTAAATTTAGCTGTTTCGGGTTATTAGAATATATTTTTATCGTAATTTATAATTTCTAATCTATTAATCCATTAATCCGAATATAATATTATAAAAATTTATTATAAAATTATATTCAAAATTTAATTTTTTTTTTCTTTTGATAACTTAAATTTTCTTTAAAAAAATGTGGAGTCTTATCTCATTTAATTAACTACTAGTTTTTTTTTCCCGATATATTAACTTTAAAGACTTGATTTTTGTTTCCTCATCAGTGTAAAGGCGTTTTGGTGGGGTTTGGGTATACAAAGATATTTTGTTTACAAGAAACCCAAAGACCAAACACCAAAAATAATGAATGAAAATTTATTAAATGTTTAATTCATGATTTAATCCTTAACTTATACATTTTTAATTTAATACTTAAACTTTAATTTCATCTTGTTTTCGCACTAAATTATCGTTTCCATCTAAATTTATAAAGAAAAGCTACCAATAAGAACATGACACGCAACACTTTCTTATTCGCCGCAAAAGTTTTCGGGATAAACTAGAACATATTCTATAGTTTAGATATTAAAGTAAAAATAAAGGTACCGAATTGAGAAAATAAATATCATTCAAGGACCATATCGTCAATAAAGCCAAAATTAAACTAGTCCTTGGCTAATGTTGTAAAGGTTATTGTATTTTCAGGTGAGCTAATATATTGACCGGTAAAGGGGTTTTAATGTTGGTGGCCTCACCTATCTTCCCCACTTTGACAGCTGAAAATAAGGTAGTTGGGGGGAAGCTAAACTCATTGGTTAAGTTAAGGTACCCTAAGAAATTCCCATTTGTGGTATGCCATAATGGACCAACACAATTAATCCCAAGTTGGGTCATCCATTTTTAGTTTAATATATCAAATTTGAACCATGAAATTAGGGCTGGTTATGTTTATGAAACGTTTCCAAGCTATCTTTTCACAGTTTCCCCTTTACTTGAAAGAAATAGATTCTTTAATGTTTTGGTTTCCAAATAATACTCAAACATGTATTTAGGGTAGGTTTAAGTGCCACAAAGAAGTATGTGTATATATTTTTGGTAGGAATAAATCTACTTATACTCTTTGTAAAATTATTAATCATTTTATATCATATATAAGTAAATCATTTATCTATTAAAAAAAAAAAGTTATTAGCCGATCTTTAATTGAAATTATCTTAATAGTTGATTCATTAATCGATCTAACAAAATATAGGAGTTATGAAATATAATAATATGATAATTTAAATATGTAATAAAAAATAGAGAATAATATAATACGAGTTTATGATAGAATATAGATGACAATCATTACCATATTCTATTTTTATATACAATAAGATATATTAAAAAAGGTTATATTAGTGATTAATAAAAGAATTGTATATATTTAAGTTAAATTTATTTTTTTCTTTAACATCTTCTACTTTTTTTAAAATTGATTATCAATGTATGATAATTAAATTAAATCTTATAAATATTGTATCGTTGAATATATCATTTCTTTCATGGTGTTGGTATCGAGGATGAATCTACATCCCTTAATTTTAACGGTTTAACTAGTTTTAGATTACTGGTATTTTTGAAATTATTATAATTAAATCATTGCCTCTTCCAAATTTACCGACTTAATTATATCGCAGGACTTTGGTTTTAAAATAAAATTTTGAATTCTATTTTTTCTCTTTAAGATCCTTTAATTTGAAATTAGTGAAATTAAACCATAATTCTTTTAAATTTTATGGTTTATTTAATTTTAGAGATCATATTTATTTCAAAGTTAAACATTAGCCCCTTCGTATTATAATTATGACTCATTGGTACATATTAATAGTGGTGAGTGTATTGATGATTATAATTTTTTTAATAAAAACATTTCAATTATATATATAAATACACTTTTAAATAATTAATTAAATTAAAAACTTGATTTTTCAACGATTAAATTTAATTATAAAAACATAAAATAAAAGAAATATTAAATTTAATTTAGAAATATAAAGTTAATGCATCATTAACTGTTTAATACACATTAATAAATAATAAGTTTAGTACAATAATTAAGTTTAACTTTATTTTAGGTTCTAAATTCATTATTACCTTTTAATATATTATTATTTTCTTGAAAACTATTATATGGATCAATCACAGTTCAACTTAAATAAAATTTCACTGCCCGGCGCACAAAATCATCCCAATCCAGCTGTCTGTAAATCGACTTACAGATTTGTATAACGCCACACCAGACCCTGCTAAAAAACAAACAAGCAATCAGAAAAACGATGGCTCCTACTGTCCAAAGCAGAATCACACAACTTACATAGCCCATCCGCGCAACCCTGTCCTTAGAAGGCAGGCCATCCCATCCGCGCAAGCCTGTCCTTAGAAGGCAGGCCATCTAACAAATAAGCCTCTCCCACAGGACCTACTATTCTTAATTTTATCCCAAATCCAATTCCCATTAACCGGAGATCAGTTTGTATCACCTCCAAACAGGTCTCTTGTTAGGACCGTCGGCGAACCCATGGCGCAGCGGAAACAAAACTCGACGGTCTCACCAGCGATCCAAGTACGAAAAACTGAAATCGAAAGGAAGAGATGCGAATACTTACAGCGGGTTCCTTGAAAAACAACAAGGAAAGCAGTGAATTCTGGTGGTGTAGATCGATTCGAATCGTAAGCTTCCACGAAATCACGTCTCGACCTCTACTCAGTTCACTCGATTGAGAGCAATTTTGTTTTCCCCCAAAACAGTTTTGAGAGAAAGTGGCTGAAGGTTTTGTGTGTGTTCTTCTCAAAACGGGTGACCTAACACACCATTTTATAGCCAAGTTACCCTAGTCATATTAGGGTTTTTATTATTTCAAATTAATTAAATCTATATTTAATTAATTGGAATTTAATAATCTTTTTATATCCAAGTTACCCTAATAATATCATAGATTTTATTATTTCAAATTAATTAAATCTATATTTAATTAATTAAAATTAAATATTCGGGATTATTAAAATATATATACTTAATTAACTCTAGATATATTTTAGTAACGTACATCAAATTGTACATTTTTACTCGTTTCAATCTTAGGGGTGTGACCATGTAGGTTCTTGTAACATTAGAAGTAATTATTAGAACAATTCTAATATTACATACAATGAGTGACATCTAGCAATATATCATTGTCACCTAAGTTACAAGAAAGTATGATTCGATATATCATCTTGGTGATTAACTCTTTTATGTATTATATCCTTATGTCCTTTATATCTAGAATAGGCACAAGTCTTGGAATAGTCACACTTGTATAGCCCATCTATTGTTTCTTGATTTCTAGAGTATACTTTAATTAACGAATAGTTTATGATATCTCATATCAATTTATTCGAGCATGGCCATGCGTTTCTAGTCTTATTCAATCAAGTGACCTATGATATATTTCCTATTATGTAGGAATGACATATCCTATCTTAATCATACACACCCACTACATATATTGAGATATATTCAATAACAGTCTTTATAGAGCAACCAGCTACGGAGCTTGTTTAGCTGCATCAAAACATACAACAATATATGTTGGGATAGTATTGATCTCAAGTCTGAGGATCATACATATAGTCATCACCATGAGCAATGTTATGATTGTCACATAATAATCCAAGACATATGCTCATGGTGGGTCAATCCAATACATTGTTCTCTAACAATATAATCATGTATTAATTCTGACATCTCTATGTCAATGACAACTCGTTGTCATCAATCAATAACATGTTAGTCTTGAGCGTATTATTATTGTCCATGCCCATAATAATACTTGACTAGAGATTTTTTAATAATAACAATTATGTCATTATATGGACTTTATTATCTTACAGTTTATGTTAAACACATATATATAACTGAAAATAATAGCGGCAATGACTTTATTCAATAAAATCGGTAAATAAAAGTATTATTACAATCATCATATGATTAGTCTTTGAGCATACTCTAACATCCCTAGCTTCAGCCTTAACCTTTCTCATAATCCAACTAAAATGAATCTTACAGCCAACATTCCAAAAATCCGCCCTTTAACCAACATGAATTTTTAAAGGGAAATCGTTGTTAGTTCGCATTCTCAAGTTGGCTCGGGTGGAGTTTTTGTATCATATTTGGGAAGAAGGAAATTTTAGGCAGTTTAGGGGGAGTTTCGATCAGTGGAAAGTATTGTGGTAAGTATTAAAGACATTGTTCGTATGAGGTTGTAGAGGTGTCGTATGAATAAATTTGATGGGGATGAACTTGTGGTTATGTGTTGTGCTGATCCTCTTTTGGTTTGGTGTTTTGTTTTTGTTGTTGATCCTCTTTGGTCTTAATATTTTTATTATAGCTGAGTGGGAGATTCTTTGCTTATCCTTTGTTGTTTTGGTGTATTTGTTATAGTTTAGATTGTTTCTTTGGATAATGTATAGAAACCATCGACTTATAAAAAAAACTTGAATATAATTTATATTAATTATATAATAATTATTGAGTTCAACTTTAAAAAAGATAATAATTTTTTTATTAATCTAGATTGATATAAAGTAATATATATTTAAATATAATTTTTCTTTTATTTGATTTTTTATCGCTTATGCCCTCAATATCAAAATGCTTAAATTTAAGACCTCAAGAAATAACAATAATTATTTTATCACCGATATATCTTTGATTAAAATATATAATGTCAATTTTATCTAAAACCCCAAACGTTATATAAAAATTCCCTTTTCTACTTCGTTTATCGTCTATAAAGAAACCCTTCCAAAACCCTTGTTATCTTATCGACCTGTTCCTCGCACGCAGTTATATCTCAGCCTCCAATAATGGCGACACAAACCCTCTCTCGCGCTCTCCTCTCAAAACCCAAATCAGTATCTACTTTCATCTTTCCTTCCTCCCGCTCTATCTCATCATTTTCCTCCTCTTCCACCCCGGCTTCCTCCACCAAAACTCTTATCACCCCATCGCCACCCCCTTCCCTCTCCTTCCTCCGTCGCCTACGTGCTCCGCCTTTTTACTCGCCCCTCCTTCGCTACTCACTTTGCCCATCCGTCAAATCGTTCTCCACTCACGCATCCAGGTCCTCCCTCAATGACCCCAACCCTAATTACTCGAACAGACCCCCAAAAGAAACGATTTTGCTCGACGGTTGTGATTTTGAACATTGGCTCGTTGTGATGGAGCCGCCTAAAGAGGATGCCACCAGGGATGATATTATTGATACTTATATCAAAACCCTAGCTCAAGTAGTGGGCAGGTATCTTTTTTGAGCTATTTTTCGTCTACTATAATGGGTTCCCCTTTCATTGTGCTTTAATGTTTGTAATTGCACCGAATACCATTTTTTTACAGGAATGACTGATTTTATGTTTATATGGTATTGAACAATTCGTTTTAATTTGTTCTGTTTTAATCAATTCTAGCTTTTATTAGATCAAATATAGTTTGATTGTTATGTTTCACGTTATCTTTTCCATGAGAAATATGTTTGTACTGTGAGCGTGCGACTAAAGGCTGTAGCTTTGATGTCAATCAGAGTTTATTGATTTGTTATTGTTTTGTCTACTTTGAAAAGATTGGAAAAAGAGAGAAGTAACTTGTTGAATTCAATGTTTTGAAGCTTCTTGTTCGGTTAATTTATAAGTTGTGTTGGGAATAGGGATACTGTTAGCTTTCGGTATAGTTGTGATGATTTCTCCTAATAAATGAAGATGTAATGTTACCACAATATGAGTAATGATATAAATCAAATTGAAGAATGTCTACGCATTGACTATCGGCTTTGAAATATGAAATGCTCATTACAAGGGCTTCTAGGTCTGATACGTATGCATGCACATGTTATGTTAGCATTAGTAACAAAAGCTCCATTGATTGATATGATGATTGTATCTTGTATCATTTAATCGTTCGGATTGCAGTATTTTTAGAATGATTTTCTGCAGATACATGTTCTGTTATTCCAGTAAAGAGGATATATTCTAATTCCTGTTTTTTCCTTTGCATTGTGTATTCAGTGAGGACGAAGCTAGGATGAAAATTTATTCAGTTTCTACCAGACACTACTATGCATTTGGAGCCCTTGTCTCTGAAGAGCTTTCTTACAAGATCAAAGGTATGTGCAACTTACCCAAGGCAATTTTGTTATTAAGAAATTTTCTTACATATTTTTTCATTAACTTTTATTTTCCCCTCAGAACTTCCCGGAGTTCGGTGGGTTCTTCCAGATTCCTATCTAGATGTGAAGAATAAGGATTATGGAGGTGAATATTCAGTTTTTATCTTAGTATTTCTTCTTTGAGTGACCTTTTGTTTTATTATAATAAGCTGTTGTTTTGCAGGGGAACCTTTTATTAATGGGCAAGCAGTGCCTTATGATCCAAAGTATCACGAGGAATGGGTGAGAAACAATGCTCGAGCAAACGAAAGAAATAGGCGCAATGATAGACCACGCAATTATGATAGATCAAGAAACTACGAGAGGAGAAGAGAGAATATGCAGCAGCCGAATAGGGAGATGCCTCCAAATCAGGGCATGCAGAATGCAGCAGGTGGAATGCCTCCAAACAATATGGGAGGTATGCAGCCTCCAAACAATATGGGAGGTATGCATCCTCCATACCAGGGCATGCAGAATGCAGCAGGTGGAATGCCTCCAAACAATATGGGAGGTATGCATCCTCCATACCAGGGCATGCAGAATGCAGCAGGAGGAATGCCACCCAACAACATGGGAAGGATGCCACCACCAAGCAATACGGGAGGGATGCCACCACCAAACAATACGGGAGGGCTGCCATCAAACAACATGGGGAATATGGGAAATGTTCCACCAAATCAAGGATGGTCCGGTAATGCTCAGAACATCCAAAACCGCCCTAATTATAGAAATGCGCCTGGGAATAATCAGAATTTTCAAAATGGCCCTAACCATGGAAGCACTCCCAATTCTCAGTACCAGAACAACTATGCTCCAAACGTTGGTGAAGGAAACAATCCTGATAGGAACTATTGATCTTACTTCTTTGTTCTAGATGAATTCTGAGGATATTTTAGTTTTTAGGTAATGCTGTAAATAGAGAAAATATGCCTAGACTTGTATGGTTATTGGCTACTATAGAATTGCTGTACGCTTATCGATGATTATGATATTTTGATGTCACATGAACTTATTGAAGTTATTATGATTTCTCCCTGTTATTGCATAGTGTGTGTATATATATGTTAAAGTTATTGCTAGAGTATTGTAATTAAATGAAGTGTGATTTTGATTTCGATGAAGTGATTATTTTTAGTCTTTTTTGTTCCTTCGGAGCTGAGTTATGGTATTTAAAAATAAACATGATTAATTAAACATTTTAACAATTAATTAACATTTCTAATAGGTGGCATTAAATAACTTAAATTTATCCACCAGTGCATTAAAAAATATAAATCCAATAGCAGCAAATCTTTTCCCAGCTTAATATGAGCCATAAATATTTCTTTTAACCAGGGACTAAATTAACAATATTACCATTGTTTTAGTTTATAATTGTGTAGTTTTTAAAGGGACTAAATTAAAATTTGATCATTTATGAGGGGCCAAAATAAAGAGTTCCCATTATCTAAGTTAAATACTTTATATTCCAAAGGGACAAATAAAAATTTACCTTTGAGGTGATACGCAAAAAATTAAATGCTTTTTCTAATCATAATCAGGCTCAGTTTCATATGAACTTCAAAACGTATGGAGACTGTAAATATATAGTATTTATTAATTTACCATTCGTTAGAAGAACAGTTTTAATAATTTTATATATCAATGGTGACGGAACATGTTACAATATTTTAACCAATGTATGTATGCATATACGTACATGCATACATAGTTTGCTTCGACTTTGCCTCTATTTAAACAGTTCTCTGCTGTGCCAATTTGGAAGCAAACTTGAAAAATTGCCTAGCGATCATGGGTTACACTGAAAATAAAAACGTCAAAGACAGTGTCACCGTGCCCCTCCAGAAGTCAGAGTCCTTTCGGAGATTCCAGGGCCTGATTCCACCGTCGATGACGGCTTGATATCAGGAAAGAAGGCTCATAAGAAAAACAGGAAGAGAAGTTGTTTGCTGTTATGTTTCTCAAATGTTGAGATTGAAAATGAAGATGACAAAATGAAAGCCTTTTCATTCCTGGAGAACAGTAACAGATCCTGCTTGATCATGTGTTTTTCCAATTTCGAAGTTGGATCTAAGATCATGTAACGTGTTCGTGTTTATGTATTTTATCAAATTTAAGGTACTTTATAGTTAAGTTTTATATCATCTTCGTGTTACTATGTTGTAAGAAATTTGTTCGTCCGAGTATGAGTATCTGAGGTTTGGATGTTATAAACTTATAGTAAGCTGTATCAAGATTGAATCATACTCGAGCTGACAAACTTGCCATTAAAATCATCTGCAACATCGTTGTAAACCTTGGACTGTTTATATATCTTTGCAACCTCTTGTTTCCCAGAGCTCAAATCATATTTTGATCTCGAGATCTTTGTAATCGGATTCTTCATCTTTTGATGTCCATTAGTCCGATGTAAGCGATCCCCATCTACGCCACTGAAGTCTGGAAACTTCACATTTCTCTCTTCATCGGCTTCGATCTTCATAAGTAGGTCGCTAACAGGCGTGCATCGTGTTCCAATTCTTTCAGTTTAAGGCCTATAAACATGGTCTTCGGGGAATCAATTCACCGGTATTGCCATTTTGGTCAACCAGTTGCTCTTGATTGCCAGTCTCATCCACCTTACAACTTGCGGTTCTGTTAAGTCAAGACAAGGCTCACTTCGCCTCCCCGACCTTGGGTGAAACCAGATCTCTTCCTCTCGTATGGGACAAGCTAACAAAGCATATAAGACAGAACTCCAGTATTTAAGCCACTACCAACAATGTTTAGGTGGTAGCTCGAGCATCAATAGTTGATAAAGAAACCCTTTGTTCAACGGGGACTTGGAGAGTTGCATATTATCAAACAGATGCAAATCACAGTGGTGGTTTCGATGCCGGTACAAGATTTAAGGCTTAAAGTGGATAAAAATGGTGAGTATTATTTCGAAAATTAGGAATATTATACAAAGAGATTGTGTCAATCTTTTGAATGAGCAAGATATCAGGTAAAATGGTATGACGATTTCATGTGATGATATTTTTCTGCAGTACAAGTATTAAGAACGGCATCTCAATTTCAACAATGCATAATCCTATTGGAAGAAAACTAAGGAAATAAACCTGTGCTGACGGGTACTCCGATGAATTTCTCAGCGGCATCGATACTCGTCTGAGATGTCTCATATATTGTAGCACGTTTTTCCTTCCATTTGTTAATCTCAGCCTCTAAAGTTGAGATCTTTGCATCCATGTCTTGGAGCAATAGGCGCCCTGTTAGACCAAAGTATGCACAAGCAATTTTCTTCAAATGATCCATGGCAAATGTCACGTTGAAACTAAGGCGTAAAGCATCCTTGATTACATCTCTCCATTTCAGCATTATGTCCTCGGTAACCTGGTCGAGCCGTAGATGTTCCATCGCTCTGATCGTGGCAAAGAACAAAATATAGATTGTTCCAGAAACACTGGGACTTACTAGACTCGTTGCAGAAACATCGCCATAGGAATCTTTTATCCTCTTGGCAGTTGGAATAAGAGACGATGGAATTCTAAATCTCCCAACTCTTATCAGCTCCCCCTCTAAGCCTGTGAAGTGCGAGGGATCTGCATGGCTCTCAACTTCTGCGTCAAGTTCTGTAAGGAACTATGCAACTTGATCTTAGCCACCTCAGCGGGACACAAACCACAATGAGAGTTCTTCGGATGTTCGGTAGTAGACTCATTGATAGCAAATCTTGCACATGGAGTCATCTCATCCTCAAGAGGCAACAGATTTAGTAACTCATCCATTTCCAAACCATCAAACTGGAAAAATAAAAATTCTAACATCAGCAAGTCAGACTAAAGATTGAAAGGTGTCAAATGACTTAAAGGAACTTGAAAGAGTTCCCATACCCATTCGGCAGCTCCTTCAGTGCGGATATCCTCCATACAATGATGGCTCTGTAAGTAAAATGAAATAGACCAGCAAATGAGATTAAAATCGATGTTCGCCTTCAAAGATTATATGGTAATCAGTAAAGATATGTCAAGCCAAATGTGGTTATAGAATTGATCATGCACTGTAAACACAGTTGCTACCTGGACATTAACATTTTGCTCAATCTGACTTCTTGGTTGGGAAATGTAACTATCTTGACTCGGCAGAACTTCTTGTGGAAGTTGTCCCTTGCCTTGAATGTCTCTGTTCTCGAAGCTCGGTTGTCCAGTTTTCTCTAAGTGTCTGTTCTCGTAACTCAACTGTCCGGTTGCCGCTTTTAATTGTCTATTCTCGGCACTCACTTTCTAACTTTGTCTTGCAAGGATTGGTTCAGGGCAGTCATTTTGTCGAATTTAGCCTGCACAAATGAAAGCCAAAGTTAAATACCAAAACCTTTTGTCTTGTAAGAAATACGTTTCTTGCATACTCATTCAGCACTTCAGTTGACAATTCTATCCAATCCCTCCTCCTTCACAGTCTCCTTCATTACCTTTTTCCGCTGCCTATATTCCACATCGGTCTGCTTTTTGCGTGCTTTTCTCTCATCTATACTCATTCTAGCTCTACGACCTCCTGGTCTCGGTTGTTGCGAAGCTTCACCTTCAAGAAAATTGCCGTGGGTCGCTTGAGAATGCGTCATATCATCACTCATTTGTGGATGCAAATGCCATTGATAAGTATTGTAGGATTGATTATTAATCGATGAATACTCCATCCCTGAGGCTGAATAAGGACTGGTAGATTCTGATATCGTATCATCCATGTTCTCTAGATGCCGCATTCGGCTTGAAGATCGATCGGTGCAGCCCGAGATTAAGAAACAACTGCAAAGATATGTCACAAGGAATTTCAATAAAAACTTTCAGCAGATCAAAAGATTGTAAACAAAGTGAAATTCTCAAGTTGCAGATGACTCAATCTCAACACAAACATACCCAAAAGAAAGAAAGAAAAAAACAGAGATTGAACTAAACATCAAGAACCCTCCATGATCCTTGGATGCAGATTGATGGATCTGCAACATAATCTAGACACTTGAATGACTGCAACAGTAACTTCAATACTTGAAAAAAAGTTATACAATCAAGAGAAGTATCATCTATCTCTATCACTGATAAATCAATATAGGAAAGAAGAGAACAAAACCAAAATTCTGTTCTCTGTAAAGTATCAATTATGAACTAAAACAGATAAATCAATGCTTACCCATTTTGAAGCTTTTAACTTTAAAGGGATCACTTCCCAAGTAGTTATTTTACCAGTTCCGTAGCCTCAATCAAGTGACATTTTAAGCAAAAAGATAATTTAAAGATCAAATCTTTTTTTTCTTCTTTTTTTTCTTTTTGGGAAATCAAAGATTAATGGTTAAGGTTTGTTGCTGAACCGTTCAAATGATGTGCGAACCTGTTAGATAATGGCACGTGGTGACCGCCACCTCCCTTCGATGTCTATTAGCATTCGCGCGTAGTCGCGCGTTGTCGTTCGGTCGTTGACTGCACTGTTCATTTCCTGTCGTTTGAACTCACCAGTTCAGGAGTTCGTTCTCAGTTCACACTTGCCTTAAGAAAAGTCTGTCCCTTTAACCGATTCATCAAGAGTCCGACAGTGAAACCGATCCGTAAATTAGCCTTGATCGTGTCACCCCACCTCAATATTCAATCCTCGATAATTTACCCCAATATTCAATCCTCGATAATTTACCTCAATATTCAATCCTCGATAATTTAATCAAGCTATTGATCATTGTTGATAGTAATGTTTTGGATTTTGGATTACGACCGCCATAATCACTTCTGATTTAAATAGAGAATTATATTCGATAATATCATGATAAGTGACTAATTTAAGATGCAAGTACAGTTAATGTTAGTCTTAGAATCGTGATGACTGCTCTATGTTGACTGGATAAATGGTATGCCTCATAGTAAAATCAACTCTAACAAATCAAGTAATGAGTATCGAGTAATCGAACACCAATAAATCTTCAGAATACATTTGCAAAATG